CTTCAAAAAGCATTGAAAGAAAAGTTTAGCGATTAGGAATTGTGTAAAGGAAAATAAAAATTAAAAATATTACTTTACCCTTATTTTATAATAATACTAATGTGTAAAAATAAAAAAATAATTTTATAGGAGAAAAAATTTAGAGAATTTCAAGGAGAAACTAAACACCCCCCTGAGTGTATTTTCAAACCACATGGGTTCCCAACTCACAGAATATTCACCTTAGCTGTAAGTGCAAGGGTGTTTGGTGCAGATTGTGAAAATAGCTTTTTGGCTCTAAAAGCACAAGTTTCACCAAATGGGTTAGCTTCTCAAACGTGCTGCAGCTTTCGAGAAGCTCACCTTCTCGTCATTCCTTTGCAAAGCCCGAAAGCTCCAATTTCTTACTTCCACAGGAGCTTCTCGCTTAATGTTTAATGAAATTGACATGGCATTCCTATTTTGTTCTCATACTTCCTTTTATTTACAAAAAAACTAGTATATAAAGGTTAATTATATACCTCCTCTTTCTTTCCCCTGTCTTTCTTTCTTTGTCTCTGAAGCAGTCGAACGTGTCTTTTTCTCCCTCCCTTCTTGCCCACATTCTTCCAAAGCAGACCGGAAATATCAAAGCATCTCAGTCACCGGCCTTCTTTCTCCCTAACTACTTCAAAGCAGAAAAGCCCATTTGCCCTCACCGGAAAATCCCCACCAAAATCCCATTTCTCCTACTTCTGTGAGTCTCCATCCTTTTCTTTGATTTTTTTTTCCTTTTTTGGTGTTTCTGCTACCAATTTGGTGGTGATGAATGATGATTGTTGGTTGGTAGTGCGAGTTGGTGATAGTTTTAATTTTTAATCCCTTGTCGTTCCTTCTCTTCTTGTAGATCTGGGCGACGCGATGAAGTGGCATAGGTCGATAAAGCCAAACAAAGCGGCAATACCGGAGGGGAGTCAAGCGGAGGGTGTTTCGGCCATGGGACTTTGGATTCTCAAGGCATTTTGGGAGCAAGTACAAGCTCGGGGAGGAGGTTGGGAGAGGCCATTTTGGTTATACCTGTTCAGCAAAGTTCAAGAAAAGGGAACTTAAAGGGGAAGAAGTTGCTGTTAAGGTTATACCCAAAGCGAAGTTAAGCTTGTAGTTCATTATTTTGGGTACTTACTGCTTAGTATATGCTTGATTTCTTGGTTCGACTATATGTTTCTGACAGTATAGAGATGAGATCTGCTGGTAAACCTCTACTTTTATCAGTCCTGTACCATGATTAGTTTGCTTGATTGCATTTATTAATATGCAAGAATGGATTGTGTATTGAATTATTGGTGGCAAAATTTTTTGAATTGGGGACCTTGGATTGGAGATGTAGTTGTAGTATGTGTTGATTTGCCTTTTTTTCTTAAGATAAAAATTGATCTTTCTTTTTAATCTTTTGGGGGAGGGGGAATTGTGTCATTCTATTGTCTTCCTTTTAAGATCCTCATTCAATTTCCAGGTACATAAATGCATGCATTTAATTTGTTGTATTTTCACTCATCCATCTGTTTGATGTATAAAGAGAGAAATTCGAAAAATTTTTAACAATTTATTACAATATATGCTGTCTTGTTGATAAGATGTCTTTAACTGATGTCTTTAACTAATATCTTTTGGTTTAATTTCCTTACGTACATGTATTTTTCTCCTTTTCATTTGATATCAGTTATTTTTGCACCAAATTAATTACCCTGCACAAGGAGTATGAGGTCTGCCTGCTTTCTTTGTTGTTTTGATCATACGATTTTTCAAGCTCGCTAAGCTCGAGACGATGTATTTTTTTCTTTTTATAAAAGAATTTGGAGTTTAATATATATAGTTTGCATTTCATAAAAATAATTAAGAGGTTAGTGTTGGGAATATTGTCTCCTCAACATTTTTTTTGGACATGTTTAAAGAACTAGATACTAATTAATATATTTAAAAACTTATTGTTAAATTAAAATTTTTATTTTTCAACAATTTTTTTTCTTTTTAAGACATTAAATTTTACTATCTTTGTAGAATCTCATTTCTCCCTCTATGCATTGCCTCCTTTTTTGATAGATAAACCCTGTTTTGTGACTGTGGTAGAAGATGAGGGGTCCTTTAGGGGCAGTCATAGGAAGGTACTCATCAAGTGATGGGAGTACCCAACTGGGAGGAATCATAGGGCACGACAAGAAATGCAGAGATGTTGCATTTCTTGTTATCTTTATAGCATTTTGGGTTGCTATGATTGTTAACTCTAGCTTTGGGTTCAACCAAGGAAACCCAAAAAGGTAAGATTTTCTAGCATACCTAATGCATATATTTCTCTAATTTCCAAATGGGTGTCTTTTAGTTTTGTAGAGGTTGAGCAATTTGTTGTTCTTATAGTAGGTTTTACTGTGTCTCAAACTTAATTGAGTTTTCTATTTTGGCTCACTTACAGTAATGTATGTAATGGTCCGTTTGTAAGTTTGGTTGACACTAGGCATGATTAAAATTTTGAGGTTAATTTATACCTATAAAAGACTATTTTATAATTCTTCCTAGTTTTAGCATTCTGTTTCTGGTGTGATTATGTGTATCCATACTTCCATTATTCAACATTTGTTTCTATGTGTTTGTAGATCTTGTTTTAAGGCCAAAATTATTTCAATATATAAGATGGCTGAAAAAAGGTCAAAGGTAGTGTGGGATGCATTTACAACAAAATTTTTTTGCAAGATATGTGTGGAAGAGGTCAATGCCAGTAATTGTCCTAATAGTACTTTTAATAGATTAGGGTGGACAAATGTGGAAAAAAAATTTAATGAAAGAACAAATAAGCATTATATTTACAAACAACTAAGAAATCGATGGGATGCATTAAAAAATGATTGGGTTTTGTGGAATCAACTCTTAAAGCAAGAAACAGGACTAGGGTGGAATCATGAAAAAGGCACAATTGATGTTACTTCTCAACGATGGGCTGAATTGAAAGCGATTAGTTGTATTCTTTTATTGTTAATGATTTTTAGTTTTTTACATGTGACTTTATTAATTTTAACTTTAAACTTTTAATATGTTATATTTATTATAGGAGAACAAAGAATATGGTAAATTTGAGCATCATGGATTAGAAAACACAGTGGAGTTGCAGCAAATGTTTAACATAATAGTAGTCACCGGTGAAACTGCATGGACTCTAGCTATTGGGCTGATTCCTCCAGTACAATAGAATGTAGGGTTTGAAGATGCTGTTGATTTGGAAGAAGGAAGTGGTGATTCTGATGAGGTCTGATGAGGTGAATGTCATCCCAACATAAACTGGTGGAAGTAGTGAAAAAAGGAAGAAAAACACAATTGGTCTTTCACTTACCGGCAAAGGGAAGAAAGTGAAAGTAAGGGGTGCAGCATACATGCAGAGACAATTGAATCGTCTTTGTGATGCAGTTGAAAGTTATACCACAACTACTTTGAGTGATTCATCAAAGAAGAATTATGAAGCATATCTTGATAGCATTGAAGAATGTATGGAGATGTTGTTAACTTTACTTGGAGTTGAAGATGGTAATGAGCTTTTTATGTTAGGTACTCATTTGTTTGTAAAACGAGAATATAGAAATATGTTTAGGAGTATAAAATCAGTTAACTCAAAACTTTCTTGGCTACAGCAAGAGTTGGAAAGGGACAAGATAAGGTTTGAGATGGAGAGGGAGAGATTCAGTGGTAGAAGGCATTATTAGGATGTTTGTATTTGAGTTTTTAGTATTAAAACATTCATAATACTTGTATTTGAAATACAAAATTGTTTTCTTTTTTATTTGTATTTTCGTTGTATGTGGACTAATGTTATGGATTTATGTCTTTTTCATAATGTTGTTGCTTAGAAATGGGACTAATGATTTATAGTTCAAATAAGGATTCCATATTAATCCATGTTTAGATTATCACTTATCTTGAAATATTAAGTTTTTTTTTTGTTAATTTGTAAAAGTTAATAAAAAGTTAAAATAATATAATTCATACAATTTAAAAATTAATAGTGTCCACATTATCTAAAAGGGAAGGGGCAATTTGCATAAGTTTTAAAATTAAAAGTGTAGATTTTACATAAAAATAAGTTTTGGGTTAAATCATTACAATCAAAGAATTTTAGGGGCTAGTAAACCTTTTTACCTTTTATATCAAAAGTAGTAATGTGGACACCCATGATGTAGAATCTCAATAGCTAAGGACAGTAGGCATGCACTGTCCAAAAGCTGATTTCAGTGCATGCGTTGGGACAGTAGGCATGCACTGCACAAGTGTTGTATTTCAATCACATCAAAAAAGAAAGTCTATCTTAAGAAAAGATTTATCAATCACATAGAAGAAAGTCTGTCTTAAGAAAAGATTTCTCAATCACATGGAAAAAAAATCTAAACATACATAAAAACACAACCCCCTATTTAAATTACAACACCCTCATGCACTTCTCCCAAATTCAATTTACGTCCAAGAGTTCAAGAGTTCAAGTCATTTATTGTTCAACTTAAGAGAAAGATAAAAAAGTATGTCATCTTATTTTTTTTACATTTTTTAATTTAGTTGTAAAAATAAGGCAAAATACCCAAATTCACCCTCAAAATATAGTGGTAGGGACGGATCCACCATCGAACAAAAAACGGGGATAAATCCACCCATAAAGTTTTCGACTTGGACAAATCACCCCAAATTTAACGTGTGACGTCATTTGACATCAGCAATCTGTTAATTTGACGTAATCTAACGTCAGCAATCCGTTAACGAATTAACGAATTGCTGATGTCAAATGACGTCACACGTTAAATTTGGAGTGATTTGTCCAAGTCGAAAACTTTGTGGGTGGATTTGTTCCCGTTTTTTGTTTGAGGGTGGATCCGTCCCTGCCACTATACTTTGGGGGTGGATTTGAGTATTTTGCCTAAAAATAATTATATTGGTTTTTTGTGTTCATATGTGGATCCTAATGTTTTTCTTTTTCTTGGTAGATGGATTTAGATCCAAGGTGGAATTATGAAAATAGTGATGAGCGTGAGGTGGAGGAAGAAAATAGTAATGAGGATGAGATGGAGGAACAAGCTATAGAACAAAGAGATAAGCAAGTGGAAGGTAGACGAAAAAGAGATAATATCCTTTATTCTCTTGTTCACTTAGGTGCTTTAATATCTTCAAAATATATTTCAAAATATCTTAACAAACAAAAAAGAAGAGTTTTAAGACTTTTAGGTTGGCAATGGATGCAAGAGACATTGGTAACTCCAGGTGAAAGCTATAAATTATTTAGAATGGAACCACATGTTTTTACGAGATTATGTTCTTCGTTAGTTAGTAATTATGACCTAACATCAACAAGAGAAATATGTGCAGAAGAATCACTTGCAATGTTTCTTTGGACATGTGCAAATAATCAATCTAATCGAAATGTGCAAAATCGTTTTAAACATTTGGGAGAAACAGTAAGTAGAAAATTTGGTGAGGTTTTGATGCCATGGTGAGGTTTTCAAGTGACATTGTGAAACCACCTTATTATAATTTTACCGAAACTCCTAATAAGATTCGACAAAATAGTAGGTTTTGGCCTCATTTTAAAGGATGTATTGGTGCAATTGATGGTACGCATGTTAAAGCCACGATCCCTAAAGAAGACCTAATACCATTTATAGGTCGCAAAGGCATCCCCACTCAAAATGTGATGGTAGTTTGTAATGTTGACATGATCTTTACATTTGTAGTTATATGGTGGCCTGAATCTACTCATGATGCACGTGTTTTCACCCATACATTGGAAAATCATAAGGATGTGTTTTCCTCATCCTCTTGATGGTAATAATTTTCTATTTATTTTGTGTTATAGTTTTTAAGCACAATTCTTAATGAATTTTTAAGAAAATTTTTCATATTTATTATCAATAACTTCTCTCTTATATTTTAGGTAAATATTATGTTGTTGATGCTGGTTATCCTAATATAAATGGATATTTAGCACCTTATAAAGGAGAAAGGTATCACATTCCTGATTTTAAATGTATAACCCAACCAATCAGTTATCAAGAAGTATTCAACCATGCTCATGCTTGTCTTAGAAATGTCATTGAACGATCTATTGGGTGTTGGAAAAATAGGTTTGAAATATTGTTC